GAGCCTTCTCTTCTCATGAGATGGCCAAAGTATTGGAGCCTCAGCTTTAGGATCTGTCCTTCCAGTGAGCACTCAGGGTTGATTTCCTTCAGAATGGAATTCCCTTCACGGATTGCTGCCTTGGCATGGCAAAGGGGCTTGAGTAATTCAGAGAAGCTATGGGCTATGCCATGCAAGGACACCCAAGATGGACAGCTCACAGTGGAGAGTTCTGACTAAACACGATCCACCTGGAGCAGGAACTGGCAAGCCACTCCAGTTTCTTTGCCAAGAAAAATCCATGGACAGAAACAAAAGGCTAAAAGATTTTTAAATTTAATACATGTTTAATCCTTTTTAATATTTATATACTCACTGTTTTTAGGTTTTAAATATTGTATTTTAATTGTTGTAAGCCACCTTGGGTCCTTTTAAGGAAAAAGATGGGGTAAAAATATTTAAATTAAACAAACAAACAAACAAATACTTGCTACTATCTTAACTACAGAGTTTATTTTCTCCATGTCTCAGACTCCTGAGACTCGCCTTCTTTCCTATTGTTTCTCTGTTAACCACCTTTCATCCCTCCTCTGTTTTCTGCTCTCCGAAGACAGACATGTAGGGATGTTGCTCTGCACCATATAAAAGAAAACAAGGAGGCACAAACAATGGGGAGTCAAACTGCCAGCCACCAGCAGAGCTATCCAGCCAGCTTTCAACACCTAACTAGGATGTTTTTCAGTCCCCCACCCCCACCCCCATCAAACAGACCTCAAGCTCTGCAATGTCCAGGCCGATGAAAAGCATTCAACTATTTGGAAGCTCACCTTTCTAGAATAACTTAGCATCCACTCTTGACTTTTTAAGGAAGTATTCCATCTGCTCATCCCTTTGCAATTTATCTTCAAGTAAAAATAATGTATTGAAAATTTTAACAAGAACAAACAAAACTGGCATTCTTTTGTGTTTTACCTAAAGGCAGATTTCCTTTCAGTTTTCTTGAGTTCTGGGTAGGTAAATGTTTCTCCTCTTCATCAGTTACTGAAGGATCCACCATGTCTACATAGTCAGTTCTCTCAGCAAACGCATGGAATCTGAAGGATAAAGAATGTTACGTTAATCTGTAAATTGAGGTTATAAAGATGTATCCAGAGCAGTGTCATGGTTAAAGAGTGTAAGGCTAGAGCCAAGGAGAACAACTTTCTTTCTTTCTTTCTTTCTTTCTTTCTTTCTTTCTTTCTTTCTTTGTTTGTTTGTTTGTTTGTTTGTTTGTTTGTTTGTTTGTTTGTTTGTTTGTTTGTTTGTTTGTTTGTTTGTTTGTTTGTTTGTTTGTTTGTTTGTTTGTTTGTTTGTTTGTTTGTTTGTTTGTTTGTTTGTTTGTTTGTTTGTTTGTTTGTTTGTTTGTTTGTTTGTTTGTTTGTTTGTTTGTTTGTTTGTTTGTTTGTTTGTTTGTTTGTTTGTTTGTTTGTTTGTTTGTTTGAAATATTTTTAGCCCACCTTTCTCCTCAAAAAGGACCCAAGACAATTTACATCATTAAAATACAATGTTAAAGCTAACAACAGTGAGCATACAAATACTGAAAAGGATAAAAACAAATGCCATACTAATTCACAGCCCCATTTAGCAGTGAAGTCCTCTGAATCACCCTGGGTGAAACACTCTCCGTCCATCATCTTACAGACTGAGCCTTCCTTACAGGCTTGGGGAAGAAGAACCATGTCTAATTCCACTATGAGCTGATAATCTTGGAAGGATTAAAATGTAATGAATAATTCCAATCATTTCAGTTGATTTTCAGACACAAGCCCTATCATGACCTTATAAAAGTCATGACATAATGTGGTGCAATGTTTTCAAAATAAGAATGTCAAAACAGTGGTCATTCAGAATGCCACATATGAAGGTGCATTTTTATTTTATTTCTTGTATCTTCTGTATATTGGGAGGACATCCTAGGAAGCATTATAGCAAAATACACTTTAAAGGTCCTAATGGGATCATCTGCTCTTCCTACATGCCAAATTATAATATTGGAACAGTCCTTTTTAACAAGATGTTGAGAATTCTCCAGATATTTCTAGGGTGACCTTCTCAATCTACAGTTCTGATGAAGCCCTCTCTGCTCTATTGCCTTCTACTTAGATTGGGCTACCACTTCCTTCACCACCAGCTGGGAATGATGGGAGTTATAGTCTGACTCTAACACATCCAGAAGGGAGTCGATTTGGGAAAACTGTTACAAGAGCTAACTAAAAAAGAAGGAATAATTGCTAAATTGGTCTAAGTCGGGAGCACAGGTGCCCCCTACCATCACCGGAGGGTGGGATGTTACACCAACCACAAATTGGTGCTTTAGGGCTATACTTTTTTCTGGTTATTGGTTATTGTTTTAAGTGCAAGCCAAATAGAATCTGAGGCCTCAGCATTTTAAGCACCATTATGGCTTCCACGAACACAAGACTACTGAGTACAACTAGGAAATATTTCCATTTGGGACAAAAACTTTCAGAATCCCCCAGCAAGCAGGATCACTGGCTACCCTGGCTGGTGAATTCTGGGAGTTGTTGGTTAAAATAGAAATGTTACCAAGCTCTAACACATCCAGAAGGGAGTCAATTTGGGAAAGCTGTTACAAGAGCTAACTAAAAAAGAAGGAATAATTGCTAAATTGGTCTAAGTCGGGAGCACAGGTATCCCCTACCATCACCGGAGGGTGGGATGTTACACCAACCACAAATTGGTGCTTTAGGGCTATACTTTTTTCTGGTTATTGGTTATTGTTTTAAGTGCAAGCCAAATAGAATCTGAGGCCTCAGCATTTTAAGCACCATTATGGCTTCCACGAACACAAGACTACTGAGTACAACTAGGAAATATTTCCATTTGGGACAAAATCTTTCAGAATCCCCCAGCAAGCAGGATCACTGGCTACCCTGGCTGGTGAATTCTGGGAGTTGTTGGTTAAAATAGAAATGTTACCAAGCTCTTCTACCAAGCTGTTCCTTGTCATCAGTAGTTTGCGATGAGGGACCCTTCCCCTTGATCTAATGCTGTCAAAATATACTGTATCTGTATGAACAAAATGTGGACAAAGCATCTAATGCTATCAAAATATATCTGTATGAACAAAATGTGGACAAAGCATGGACGAAGAAGAAAGCCATCACAAGGACTGATAAACCCATTCTCAAAATCAGTCTGTAGTACTGAAATCATTTACCTCATACCTGCCACTGGTCACTTGGCTCAGTTCCTTTAAGAAATTTATTGTTTCTTCTTCCCTAGCATTAAAAGAGACAGAGTGGATCAAAATATATCTGTATGAACAAAATGTGGACAAAGCATGGACGAAGAAGAAAGCCATCACAAGGACTGATAAACCCATTCTCAAAATCAGTCTGTAGTACTGAAATCATTTACCTCATACCTGCCACTGGTCACTTGGCTCAGTTCCTTTAAGAAATTTATTGTTTCTTCTTCCCTAGCATTAAAAGAGACAGAGTGGACAGGACATGGGCTTCTTGAGATCTTCTGTAGGAGCAAGTGCTTCAAGCATTCTGGCATGTCACCCACAACAAAATAGTACACAGCTTCTGTCTATAATGGACAAATCATAAGGAGAGAAATCAGAATTAAGCCCCCAGCCCAGCAGGGTACACAATGAGCTCCATATCAGGGATTTGGGGATACCTCCCTTTCCCTCACAGAAAACAGAGAGAGAGAGAGAGAGAGAGAGAGAGAGAATCATGCTGGTTGGAAGATGCTGACAAGGCAAAACTCTGTCAGCAATTTCTGAGACAAGACATGCACAAGCTTGCTATCACAACACCTAAGCAAAAGCTAAAGGTACCAGTTTAAAGCACCACTTTGGCCTGCAGGATAGCAACACCCCAAGCCCTGTTCATATTCTACCAAACCAGCTATCATCGCTTTATGTGGTGCTTCAGGTCATCCTAAACACACATTTATATATCAGCTCCATTCTGCCTGGGTCTGCTGCTAAGATGCCAGAGAAGAAATAAAAAGTCTCCTTGTCACACCCTCATGTCATCTAGCCCAAGACCCTCAATGCAGACTGGCAAGGTTTTCAGTACAAGATATTTGTTGAAGCTCCTCATGAAGATGCCAGGGATTAAATCTGGGACTTTTTGTATGCAAAGCTTCTGCTCTACCGCTAAGCAATGCACTCATTTTAATAGTAAAGGTTATGTACATGCTGCCTGTCTCCAGATTTAGAGGCAGGATGCCTCATTGGGAGAGGGCGAACACCCTTATTGGGTGTATGGAAGTAAGAGCTGGACCATAAAGAAAGCAGACTGCCGAACAATTGATGCCTTTGAATTGTGGTGCTTGGAGGAGGCTCTTGAGAGTACCCTGGACTGCAAGGAGAACAAACCTATCAATTCTAAAGGAAATCAACCCTGAGTGCTCACTGGAAGGACAGATCCTGAAGCTGAGGCTCCAGTACTTTGGCCATCTCATGAGAAGAGAAGAATCCTTGGAAAAGACCTTGATGTTAGGAAAGTGTGAGGGCAAGAGGAGAAGGGGACGACAGAGGATGAGATGGCTGGACAGTGTCTGCGGAGCAACCAACATGAATTTGACACAACTCCGGGAGGCAGTGGAAGATAGGAGGGCCTGGCATGCCTGGCGTGCTCTGGTCCATGGGGTCACGAAGAGTCGGACACGACTACTGGGAGAGGGCGAACACCCTTATGTCAAGAATGGGGACCCTCCATATGTTGTTGGACTGGGACTCCCTCCATCACTCACAATTGCCAACATAAGGCAGGATTGATGGGAGATGCAACGCAGCAACAACTGGGGAGTCCACATAGATCTCAGCTTTGCCCTTTGATGGGTATGTGTCAACCAGGGTGCAAGACTAGAGGTAACCTTCATTTTATTTAGCAGGGCTTTTTTTCTCACCTTCTTACTCAAGCGCTGCAGGATGTTGTAAATTGTCAATACAGGACAAGGTTAGCCATGCTGCCTGACATTGTTGCTCTTTCCTGTGTGGCCCATACCATGTGATCTCACTCCATTCATCAGCAGAGGAGGAGATTCAGCACAGGCCTCATGAAAACATTGCTTGGTTTGCAAGGAACAGATCCCTTATAGCAAATACATTCAGTCCTTTCCACCCCAAACAGGGGCTCTGTATCAGCATCATCACTACTTGTCAGTCATCCTTTGGGATTCACCTTAATAAGGGTCTCTGGATGTGTCACATTAGGGAAGAACCTAGTACCTATCAAACTAAGAATGGCTAGTTCTATTTTGTAATGAATAAGACGCCATTCCCTTTGACATTTGTGGTGCTGTGCCAACAGCAATTCACATCACATATGCTAGTGCTGTGACCTCTAGCTATTTCCAAGCTGGAACAAAATCTTCTGAAGAACACAAGCTGACGTGCACCGTGTGCACATATCTTCTAAGGAATGTTTGATCCGAAAGCTAATTACTTCCACCTTTTTCCAATTCTCAGCCTATTTCACTTTCCGTAGGCATTTCTCTCTACTATTCCTGACCATCTGCACAGCTCATGTATTTTTACTCAGTCTTCAGCGTTACACAACCACAATGCTTACCCATAACAGGACATTAAACATGGCAGGGCAGAGGAGAAAACATTTTTAAAAATGGGGAAATAATTTCACTTAAGTCAGGACGTCCCTCCATCAATAAATGGAAACTGTAGAAGATGTATTCAGTTATTAATATTCCATTGACGACAACAGCTTAATTACATGTTCTCACAGTGATTTATCGGCCAAAAATCTATTGGAATTTTATTCTGGAGTAGGTGAAATCCCATCAGTCACAGCAACAAATTACAGCTAATTAGCAAGGTGTTGGGTGCCTGTTGGGTATCTGCTAGTCACATGGTCAATCGTGCAACCAGCCTCTTGTTAGGTAAAGGTAAAGGTTCCCCTTGACAATTTTTGTCCAGTCGTGTCCGACTCTAGGGGGCGGCGCTCATATTGGGTATCTGCTAGTCACACGGTCAATCGTGCAACCAGCCTCTTGTTGATTAGCTGCAATTTGTTGCTATAACTGGTCTCTTGTTAATTAGCTGCAATTTGTTGCTATAACTGGTGCTATTTCTCTTACTCCAGAGTAAAACCCCAATAGAATTCTGGCCATTGTCCACATGCAGAAAATTATTTGGGATGGAGGGAGGTACATTCAGTCTGGCAACATCCTACCTGTAGTCTGACGCAATGCAGCTACTAAGCTTAACAGCCTTTAGATTCATCACTTGGAAGACTGGTGGGCTTAATGTCAGCAGCGGCTAGAACATTTTCTACCCAACATTTTTATATCCCTACAGATCCTCTAATATTACACCATACATTTAATTGCCTGTCACCTCCTGTAACAGCAAGGGGGAAAGTTTAGCCCTCTACATGTTTGGGGCTTCAATTTCTATAGTTCTTAACCACTGGCCATGATTGTTGGAGTTTCTGAGAACTGACGTCAGAGGACTGAATGTTCCATGGTCCTCTTTAGCCCCTCAGCAGGTTGAGTTCAAACTTGGAATTATACAGGCAATATGAAACCCATGACATCACCATAAAGCCAGTGGTGTTTTCCTTTATGGTTGGACATGTTACCCATGGCAAGAGATTCCATGGGTATAATAGTGAACTGCATACATCCATCTCATACGCTGAGCTACAGAACTTCATCTCAGAAAATCTTGACAGAACGCTCATAGTTCTCTGTACTGGCCCTGTCAGCCCAGCCTAGCCACTGAAATTTCCAAACCGGAAGGGCAATGACGACCTTTCTATCTGACCTGTGATTTTATTTGGGCAACAAGAGCTTCCTGCCATGTCTGTGTGTGTATCCTTCAGCTCTGACACAGCTCTCGCCTTATAACCACCAACTGGCTAAGCACTGATGCCTCCAAATGCAACATTAAAAGTATAGTTTATATATTTGTGTGGTTTTTCTCAGATATACCTGGGCATGTTGTACAAGGCTCCTTTCTCAATATATATATAACATGAGACATATACGTACTTTAGAGGGAAATCAAACCAACTGAGCATGTTTGAACACTCCTATCCTGGCTTATTCAGTCAAGTCTGCACAAGTAAACTGCTAAATAGTTCAGTGGCTTAGATCTCTGGCTGCTAAGCCAGAGGTTGGGACTTTGATTCCTCCACTGGGTCTCCTTGACAAGGGCTGGACTCGATGATCCATAGGGTCCCTTCTTGCTCTGCAGTTGCAAGATGATGATGAAGTCATTGTCTTTGGCTTATACAAACAACCCCTTTTGTTTCTTCTTTCATGGTACACAATGATCTCACAAGGAAGTCTATAATTAACCATAATACTAAAGCCAGTAAATCAAACTAGGTTTAATATCCTGCCCCACTCCCTGCTGCCAAAGCAGGGAATTATGGCTTCATGATTTGCCTGGGCAAAAGAGATTTTAATAATGACTTTCTGATTTCACTGTTTGTTTGCCTGAAGAAGGTGCCTCTGCAGGGAAGAGGATCACACATATCCCTCCTTAATGAACCAAGATATGCTGCCTTCCCCAGAGCCATGAAACCTTTTATTTCCCTCTTGCTCTGTGGGAAGTCAGAAACAAAGCTTCTGCTTTCAGAGCACAATTCTGTCGTGTACATATGATACTGGAAAGCACCAGCCTCTAGCTCAGCTTGAACGAAATTCCTCCCAAAGACCTCCCATGTTCTTTTATTAGCCTTTAGCCCCTTCATAATTCATCCCTGTAACACTTGGCAATCCATCAAGTGACTAAGGATATCCTTAGTACTAAGTGAAGACTCTTGGAAATATGTGTGCGATTACCGTCTCATCAAACAAGGCCTCCAAGATAGCTTCTGTGGGGCCAGTGTGGCAAACAGCTGACCCATGGTCCATCCCCCACAGCCACTCGATGGCAGCTTCTATGGAGTCCTCCGTCACAGGAACAGCTTTCTCCTGCCATTTCATGAGATCTTGAGCTCCCCTGTAATGGAGAGGGAGTTCAAATCCTCAGAGGTAACGCTATATCCTCTCACAATGCAACACTTGTGAATTAAGAGGAAGTCATGCACTTTTAGCCTCCTGCCCCCACCCCATCTGAATTTCAGCTTTGGGAATTCTTAAGATCAGAGGAGAAAGGAACCTTATCCAGTATCTAGACAGACATACGATCTAAAGGCCAAATGTCTAGGAGATGTCTGTGCACTTTCTCACACCAATTCACTTTGATACACAGTAAGTGACAACGTCCTGTTCCTTTTTCCCGTCTGGCAGCTATCTGTGAGAAAGGAAGAGGGATTTAAGGCTCCACGCAGATCAAAGAACTTTGGGCTAAAGACCTTGTTCTCAGGCAGCTGTCAAAATGGGGTCACCTCAGAGTTCTTATGGACCCAAGACAGACTGCCAAGGCCCATAGTCTACACATAGTGGCCTCCTAGCCAAAATGTCATACTTTCCACATCCTTCTTTTGCCCTCAAAGGCCATGTATTCCTCAAAGGGTCAGATTTGACATGAAGAGCCACCCTGCCATAAAGAAAACTAAATAGTTTTATATCTAACTCCATTAAAAACCTTACATCACTGATTTTTCATCTACCTGCTGAAAATTTCTGGCTATAACACAGTACACCCAAAGCCAGAAAACATGAGGTGAAAAATAAGAATTATTCTTCGTGTTCTGTTTTGTTTTTTCCTCACCGAGTATATTCAAGAGTCTCCTATTCCAGTGAAACATCACTGTTTGTACCGACCACACTTCCATTCAGCTTTTCTGCATCATGATTCTCCCCCAAAAGTCTTAGGAACTCTTTTGTCCCAAAAACGTGATAATGGCAAACATTTATAATGTTTGGGGAATTTTTCTGCCCCAGGCATTTGTTTGCTTGTTTTTTATAAGATACTGGCCTGAATTCAATTGTTAGCTTCTAGCTAGAGTAGACCCATTGAATCAATGGAAGCTACAAAAGTGTTGACTCTTATTTAGCAAATTATTATTTAGCTGTTCCAAGTGATATCCTAGAACATGGATGGGCAAAATATAGCTGTACATAACCCTCCAAAGTTCTTTTGGGGGGCTCAGCCCCATGAGACTAGTCCTCCCCACCCTCCAGAAATATTTTTCCCAGAAAAACAACATACCAGAAACAGTGGAGATCTCATGTAATCTCACTGTTGTGTCTGATGAAGTGAATTTGATCCACAAAACCTCACATTAAAAATATATGTTAGTTTTTAAGGTGCCACATTTTTACCTTTCAATTTTTTTCTTTTCTTTTTGCCTGATATGAATGTACTGAAGCCTCCAGGAGCAGCAATTCACCTTTTAAACAGATGTTATAGTACCTTTGCATTGTTCAACCTATTACCCCTATTATTATTTTTAAACCCGAAGTGGATTACTGGTGAGTTTCAGTTTCATTT